TGAGTTGTGGTAGCACGGGTAGGTGCTCGAGGTGTCAAACAGTGATTTCGTACAACTCCAGTGCAGTTCTTAGCACGTTCGAGGACGAACGTATGTTTAAGTGGGAGAGAATGTAACGACCCGGCCGGTCATTTTGAGCTCTAGCGCGTCGTTTAACAGTCTGAGGCCATGAGCAGCTTCATTTCAGGTATTATGACTTGTACGCGTGGTCGGAATTGAATTTCGGGAAGTTCAGAGTTGATTCAGAAAGAGAACTCTCATTTCGGAAGCTTTAAGTTGAAAGAAGTGACTAAGATTGGATTTTCGATTAAACGACCTCGGAATCGAGATTTGAAGGTTCCAACAGGTTCGTATGATGATTTCGGACTTGGGCATATTCCCGGATCGGGTTTTGGATGACCCGGGAGCGTTTGGCGCCTATTGTGAAAGTTAGCATTTTGGAAGAAATTTTATGAGTTTGGATTGAGGCGCATTTCAGTGTTATCAATGTCCGTTTGGAATTCTGAGTCTGGGAATAGCTCTGTATGGTGATTCTGGAGTTGGGAGCGTGATCGGAAGTGAATTCGGAGGTCCGTATGTCATTTTGAAGTCATTTGGTTAAAGATGGAAAATTGAAGGTTTTTGAGAAGTTTGACCGGAAGTGGACTTTTTGATACCGGGATTGGAATCTGATTCCGGAGGTTAGAGTAGGTCCGTAATGTCAAATATGACTTGTGTGCAAAATTTGGGGTCAATCGGATGTGATTTGATAGGTTTAAACATCGAGAGTAGAAGTTTGAAGTTCTAAAGTTCATAAAGCTGGATTGGAGGTCGATTCATGATTTTAGCGTTGTTTGATATGATTTGAGGCCTCGAGCAAGTCCGTAATGTGTTTTGGGACTAGTTGGTATGATTGCTTGGGGTCCCGGGGGCCTCGGGTGGATTTCGGATGGTTAACGGATCAAATTTAGAATTTGAAGAAGGGCCGAAGCAGCTGGTATCTGGTGTAACCGCACCAGCGAGGTTTTGGCCGCAGGTGCGGAGCCGCAGAAGCGGCCAAATAGTCGCAGATGCTGATTTGGCAAAATCAGGATTTGGCCATTTTCTCTCATATTTTCTTGGCTTGGGCGATTTTTGGGAGAGCTTCAAGTGAGATTTTCATCATCAACGATAAGGTAAGCTAATCTCATCCATCTTGAGTTAAATACATCGATTATGTATGGATTTTAGCATGTAAATTGGTAGAAATTTGAGGTTTTTGGTAGAAAGACCTAGAATTTATATTCTTGGAATTTAACCACGATTTTGGGTATGGAATTAAGAGAAAATCGTATATTTAAGTTCGTGACATCATGGATAAACATTATCTTCGAAAAATTTAGGAATCCGGGCACGTGGGCCCGAGGATAATTTTGTCAACTTTTCGATCGGGGTTAGAAATTGTTATAAATTATATTATAATGAGTAATTGAACATATATTAATGGATTTGCATAATTATTGACTAGTTTTGGAGCATTGTGCATCGATTCTAGTCTTCGGAAGAGCGTAGAATGTCGGTTATGGATCTTCGGAGCGAGGTGAGTCTCCTTTCTAACCTTGTAAGAGGGAATTGTCCTCATAGGTGAGTTAATTGATTATGTGCTCCTATTTGTAGGGGCTACGTAGGCATGAGGTGACGAGGGTCCGTGCGTAGCTACTGTTATGCTATTGTCCGGGTAGTCTAAGACTCAAAAGCATGCTATACGTGGATTAACTGTAAACATATTGACAGATTGAATTGCTTAAATCACATCGAATTAATAAACAAATTTCTAAAAGGATTAAACTTCATTTTCTTAAATTGTTAAAAGAGAATTGGTTTTTATTTGGATAAATATTCCCCGATAAATTATTAATTGGCTGTTTGAGCATGTATTTCTATGAGTACCTGCGTCGCATGTAGGATTCGCGAGCAGGGTATTTGTTTATTTATGTTGACCGCGTCACAGGTATGATGCACAATCGGGGTAATAGATGCATCTATGGTTCGTGCCGTTCGACCCGCGGCAGTGCACATTTTACATTTCTGTTGGATCGGGCCGTACGACCTCGACATGATTTGCGCATGCTTGTATTGCTTGCTTGAGATTATTTGAGATTGATATTTGCTCTCCCCGACTTGAGATAATTGACAATTATTGGGTTATGAATCCGAAGATTTTTAATATAAAAAGGAACTTTCATCTGTTCATGACTTACTTGAAATTACTATCATTCTTAATAAATCCTTGATTATTCGCATTAATAATATATCATTATTGGACCACTAGTAAGTGTCCAAGTCGACCATCTCGTCTCTACTTCTTCGAGATTAGACGGGATACTCATTGAGTACACGTTATTTTCGTACTCATACTACACTTCTGTGCATTTTTGTTGCACAAGCATATGTATCTCTAGTGGCCTACTGGGCGTAGTAGCATAGTTGATATGGAGACTTGGGTGAGCTGCACTTCTCGAGGCGACCCGCAGCCAACAGAGTCTCTTTCAGTTATCTGTATTTATTTTCTATCCAATATTGTATTCCGGACGGTTGTTGCATTTTATTTCCTTATTAGTAAATGCCCATGCACTTGTGACACCGGGTTCTGGGATGATTATTGGGTATCTTGTATTTACTTCCAAACATTATTTTATTTACATTGTAAAGATTGTCTGTTACTAGTAAAATGGAAGGAAAATCTTAGTTTTCAAAATTGTTAAAATGAGAACCTAATCAAGTAATTTGGTTGGCTTGCCTGACAGTAGTGTCCGGCGCCATCACGACCCTTAGTGGATTTTGGGCCGTGACATGAATTCCATAGTACAAAATGAGAAGATGGAGATTGTAGTCGAAATATGGGAAAAAATAAATGCATCTAAAAAGGAATGCACCTTTTCGTCTTGAATAATTAATTCAAGGGAGAACATATTGTGTGGTTTATCGTGGTTTGGAACGTGCCACAATCTCACTACTCGTACTGTCAAATTCCAACTCATCTTACTACTCGATATATCACTAGTATAGTCACCTTTTGCCGTCATATTTTGCCTTAGAGAAAGTTTGATCAAAGAATTATTTGTACAAAAGTATATGCTCGGTGCAACTATAATATATATATATATATATATATATATATATAATGTACTGAAGACAAACCCTAACCAGTAGTTTAGTAAAAAAAATTCAGTTGCTATATATATGTGTAAAGTATATAATATATATTTGTATATCATTTTACTTGATATAGATAAGAAACAAAATACGTGTGTTTAGGTACATTAACTTTATGAAAAAAAAATCATAAAAAGAGCCGGGAAATATGTGATTCAGCCCATAGAATGTAAGGGCAAATAGAAATTTGAATTCCAAGCAACTAATTTAGGGTTTATATCTAAAATTAAGCAGAAAAGTCATCTGCACAAACATACCTCGAATTGGATTTTGGTAGGAGATGATAAAATGTAATTGTTGCTGGGAATTATGAATCTTTTCCAAGCAGAAATCTCTCCATTTCAGATAATAACCATTCCGATCTGAGGAGGTCTTTGCGTGTTTCTGATTTTATAAACATACACTTTTTCTTGTTGTTAATTTTCTTCTCATCTTCCATGATCAAGTGATGTTGACAATTGAGTTAAGATGAAAATTGAGAATTTTTTTTAGGAAGAGATAGAGATATAAAACTTTAGTAAATATGAAACATGATTCTTTTGTTTAAGATGTAGTGTTGCTGTAATTTTCAGTGTTTTTTAATTTATTTAGTTGAAAACATATACAATTAACGGTAAGTGGAATTTTCTAGAAAAAAGGCGATAAAATGGGATGATTGAGTGTTTTTTGGCCGAAAATTCTGTATATTAAAACATTTATTTTAATTGAAATAAGTTGCCAAATGTCTTGTTAATAGGTTGCCACTTGGCTTTTTAATAATTTGCCACTGGGCTAAATGAGAAGGCAAACTTTCTTGCTTTAATATATATATGAATAGATATGGATATGGATATAGATTCCTTATTGTTTAATTACGTTTAAACTTCTTCAATAATAAACACCCAAGTGTTAAAGGAACAAAATTATGACTATTCTCACGAGTTAATCAAGATTATCAAAGCATTTTCAAATACTCATAATATTATATTCTAAATAAGTAATACTTAGTTTTCTTTAATACAACATAGCCTAAAACTAGGACTAATACTAAGTTTTGTACCAAGAATATTCCAAATATATCAAATGAACTACATGTTTATTTATTTATGTTCATTGTGAGAGTTTTTTTGTACATTATCCTTTGACAGAGTATAATGTTAAATTTTTCGTCTCAAAATTAATATAAAGAAGAGAAGATGTCACCAGATATAGTTGCTTATTTTGCATACTATTTAATTGATATACCAAAATAATTTATGCGATGAATAATAATGAATGAATAATTTCTTATAACGAATGTAATATATGAAGTTTTTTTCGCGATAAATAATGGAATATATGAAATATCATTACATAGTACATTGATTGAATAAGTTAATGCGATTATTATCTAATATTGTTAATCAAATATTGGTAAAGTTATTTTTTCTTATAAGACAATAATATATGCGACCTTAGTTATGGGAAAATTATTATTTTTTAAAATCCCTTCGAACAAGCACTGTATAAGCTGTCATAGAAGATAATATAGTCAATTTTGAGAGCCTAAAGAGATATCACTATTTAATTCAAAGAGATATCACAATTTCTAAAAGAAAATGAAAATTCCGATTAATGACTCTCCTATCGCAGCTTCAGTCAACTAACACTACAACCACTTAAAATCTTCAATCTTCATTAATCTCAATCAAATCATCAACATAGATAAATCAACGGTCTAGATCGAATTTAAATTAATGAGCATTCGGTTACAGTGAAACCGTACGTACTATAGCAAAATATGAATTTGACACAAATAAAAAATTAAAAAGATAATATATCTTGTCTGGATAAAGGTAAGGCTTTCATCTTCCTCAGAATATTCCTTTTTCTAATCTCTTTCTCTCTCTCTCTAGACTATTGTTTCTTCATTTCTCTCTCTTCTTTCTCTGTTGTTATATATACAAGTTTTGTTGTATACAAACTTCGTTGTGAAGCTATGTCGATTGCGTTGGAGAGGAATAATACAGCTGATCGTCAGATCGAACGGTCAGGATTCGTGCACGGAATGGCGTTTATTCCGATCTATAAGTCGGCAGATCTTAGGGTTCAGGCGAAGCAGGAAAATGAGGATGATCGGACCTCTTCCTCGTCTTCTTCTTCTTCGATTGGTAGGAATAGTGATGACTCGCCGGCGGCGGGAGATGCTTCGTCGGACGGCGACGGCGAGGAGGTTCAGAGTCCTTTCAAACCTGCTGGTGCTTTGGATAATTTGGAGGCTTTAGAGGAGGTTTTGCCAATAAAGTATGTAGTTTTACTATTAATTTAATTTCTCTGTGGATTTTAGGTCAATTTATATAATTTATTCACTTATCTTGTCATTAAGATGCTGACTTTGTTGTTTAGTTTGGAGTTTTAAGGCTCGAGTCTAGGAGTTTGCTTGGTTAATGTGATATGTGTACATGTTAACTAGACATTTGTAACAATTAACTGTGTCTTAGGGGGCATCTTGGTAATATTTTTGAGTACCCGAGAGAAATGGACCAAAAATGTTTGGCTTGGCTTGTTGCAAATTGACTTAGTAAGTAGTTTTTTTATATGTTTAACTTGGGCAGTAAAAGTAAAATCTGAGAGTTTAGTTCATTGATTAAGTGGTTGTTCCCCAATATTTCATGTAGCATGGTATAGACCTTGTACCTGAAAAGTAATTTGGGAGATGGAACTAGCTTAGTGGAATGAGACCTGACCGGTGCTTGCAATCTTGTTTGAGAGGTTGTTGTGAATGTGATGGGGTGTGTCATCTTTTGTCCGTAATCTTTTGCATTATGTACTACCTTTGATTGTCAGAGCTAATACTTGGTCGCATATATTCCTTGGCGTGTGAAAGATTCAAATAGATAGAGACTATGAGGTGTCAAAAATCATTTCTTTTGTTTCATAGATATTTAAGGCTTATGAGTGCAATGTTAACAAAATTGTTTGGCAGTCTTATTTTGATCTGGATAATGGTATTATCGCGGGTGCATGCATGCTTTAGTATGGATAAAATGCATTGCTATTATAGAGGGTGTTGGGACCAGTATCCTCCTTACCAAAAGTAAAGCTGCCTGGGATGCTTCTTGAAGCTTGTAACATCACTTTAGCATATTCAGTACTGAGTATGTTAGTTTACTAAAAAAATGTGTGTGTTGATTTTTATCTATATAGCTGAAGTTGAAAAAGTATCTCCTGTGGACTGAATGTGAAGCCTGGATAGCGTCAGAGCCTTTTTTTTGGGGTTAATATTTTATTGTAAATGAAGTCTGAAGAAACTTAATGGGAACACGGTCAACGGTTGTTATTGTAAGTCTCTAGCACATTGGATAGTCTGGAGGATGAAAGGAAGGATGCCGTAGTCAAATCGGAAAGATTTTAGATGCTTATAGATGTTTATGAGCAACTGTTGTCGTATTCTTCCTAATTTTCCAAGTTCTAACAGTGCTTGTCTGCCATGATCCAGGAGGGGCATATCAAATTTTTACGCTGGAAAATCAAAATCATTTACTAGTCTAGCAGATGCAGCATCATGTTCCTCGCTTAAAGATATGGTCAAGCCAGAGAATGCATTCACTAGGAAACGCAAGAACTTGCTTGCTCACAACAATTTCTTTGACAAGAATCGGAATCACTTCCCAAGAAATTATAGTGGTGGGTTATACAAGAGACCGATAAACTCTAGAAGCTCATTAGCTCTTGGTGCAACCTCAAGCTGCTCTGAGAGCAATAACAGCTCCGAGTCTTTGAACTCAAATCCATCATCACCTCATTTCCCTCTTCCTCCTTTGCCTCCGCAATCAAGAAGATATAGCAATGAGTCATCATCATCACCTCCTGAACAGAAGTTTAGTGCATGGAGGTCTTTCTCCTTATCGGATCTGCAAGGGACTGCTGCTTCAACTCCCAGTCTCACGGGCATAAAGGAATAGAGAAGATATCTTGACAGTAACTTAATTTTGTTGTCACCCTATGAGCCTAACTTCATATAGGTTTCAATGGAGGTTGGCTTATTTTAGCAGTTATAGGCTTCAGTCTCGCACCCTGCCTCTGTAATTATTGATCAAGGCATACCAAATCTTGGCATCTTAAGAATGTAATTGCTCCTGCTCACTTTTAACCTCTTTATCCTGTTGTATATTTCAATGTGTTGTTTGCCTAATTTAGGGATTTTATATGTTCGGTTTGTTGTCTGCTTAATTGTAGATTTTCTTTTAGGTGTATTCCTCAGTTTACACTTTAATCTTTTGGGATATGCATTTTCTGAAGCAGGACCTCCTTTCCCCTTCTTCCTCTCTTATTCAGCTCTAGAGTGGGTCATGAGTGGTGGCTAAACCATGTTGCTCCCTCATTGCAGGGAGGAGACCTGGTGGCCGTGGGAATAAAAGATTACTTGGTTTTGCTTGCTGACACCATCATATCCTTACTCTAGGTGTAAGCTTGAGCATGTTTTCTAGAATTTATTTTGACACTACCCAATCATCGTAGTTTGATAGTCTGACTAACAAGTTTGCGGCAGCATGTTGTGGTTGACGAGTAGACCAATGGATTCCCAGCTTGAGACGTTCAAAGGTATGAACCTAAACCGGCCCCTATGGAGAGGGTAGCATGCCAACTGATTGTTATTCATGAAAAAATTGGTTTCAGTTTCTTGGTTTAGTAACTTCCTTTTAACTTGAGCTAGTGCAAACGAAAGTTAAAGAAAGAGGGAGGGACATATAAGATTAAATTTCTAAATGAACAAAACCAAATTCCAATTGGGATAGCCTTTATGGGTTGGTATACCAATTGAGCTAGGATAAGCATGGCTAAGAATAATCATGGTGCGTAACATGAGAACTAAATATGCTTTGTGTGCCATCACTGTCATGATGCCACAAGTATAATATGCTCTGAAGGCATCTCAAAATCTTGTAGCGTAGGTTTGCATTTATAAACACCTAACAGTAACTTTTGCGCCTCTAACAATCAACGTGCATAAAATGCACTGTTAAGAAGTCAAATTTGGCCGACATAATGCAATGTTGTAGTTTTATTATGTAGTAAAGCTTTTTGTTGAACATTGATAATTGCTTGAAATTCCATTTCTGTTCTTAGAGGAAGCCATTCAATGGAATATTATGCAACAGTGAATATTTTTCATTTCCTAATGCCAACAGTCAAATCTCTTCTAGCCCAGCTTCCCCCCCCCCCCC